AAAACAGACTGCACAAATGCGCCTGTCCAAAATAAAAATTCACCAGCCGTCACTGATGAAGTCATTCCAAATCTTTTAATGTTATTTTAAGTTTAATCTCACGTAGAGTCGTGGGGATTAACCGGTTTGACTATTGACCACAGTGTGAAATGATGTGGTTAGCCCACCTAAAGTCTCCTAAATCACAAATAAAAAAAAAAGACAACCGACCCGTCTGGATCAAAACAAAAGTGATGCTGGAATGGACACACACAGCAGAACCAGAACCTGTGACAACAACCACCCGGACTGTACCTGATTCCACCTTGGAAGCAGCTGAAGTCTCCTGTGTGGGAATATTTTAGACTCTCAACGCTGCTTAAGAAGAAATTCAAGACGACGTCTGTTGTCCATCTGCAAAGCTGGTAGGAAAATGTTGTGACACCTTCATCTTGTTTCATCATCTCTGAGATCATCACTCAAGCTCCAACTGAATCAGATTACAGTGGCTGAAGGGATTTAACAGTAATATTAGATCAATCCAGGGAACAAGGGTTCATTTAGTTAGTCTACGTTTCCCCTGCATTTGTATACAGTAAGCCTTCATGGCAAGCCATTTTAACATTTATTCAACAGCAGCTCTGTAATTCCTGTAATAAAAATAGCACCTTTGTAATAGTAATAATCTTAATCTGCAGTATTGAAAGTAAAGATGTGAACAAGCACGTCCATAATAACAACTGCACGAGTAGGGCTGCACCGATCAGGTTTTTTGTTGCCGATCACCGATACCGATATCAAAGAATGCTGATCACCGATACCGATCACCGATACCGATCATGTGGATTGGCCAGAAATTTTCTACAACATTATAATGAGTGCTACAAACTACATAATCTGGGAATAAAGGAAATGTAACCTAATCTAAAATGGTCTGTATTAAGGTTGTCACGGTGTGAAAATTTAACCTCACGGTTATTGTGACCAAAATTACCACAGTTTTCGGTATTATCGCGGTATTTTTTTAAACGTGTTACATTTTCACACTATTAAATAAACCCTGTATGTCAGGAAATATTGTCCTCAGTTTGTGTCTAAATTTTGCCTAAAATGTGTTATTTTGTAATTATGTTGTTTATTTGTTTACATTTTTTCCCTTTAGTCTTTAAAATACCAATATTTGCCCATAACTTCTTATTTTATGTCTGTTTGATGTCATCATTTAAAAAATATTAGATCAGATGATACTCGGTACTCAAGTAGCCTTCTAATCATATACATTTTTACCCTTACTTGAGTACTAAACCCTATATCAGGAAAATATTGTCCTCGGTTTGTGTCCTTCCAGTGAGCTTTGCAGATGTGGGAAAATGTCATCAGGCAGTAATCATTGTTAAATTCATAATTATTCTCGGAGAGAGACCAACTCTTATCTGGCCCTGGGAGCCCCATAATGCATAGCGTCATTTCAACATGGCGGTGTCCGCGACATGGTTTATATGCAGGTAGCGGCGCTGCGGCTGCTTTATACAGCGACTCGTTGCATTCTCCCTCAACCCAAATCCTTGGATCACACATTTTAGCTAAAACGCTAACGTTAGCTTGCCTTGCGTTGACTGTAGAGTTGTGGGTGATGGTCACGCAGATGTGTCATGAGATTTGAAGCGTTGCTGCCTTTCACAGACACTTATTCTGCACGTGCTGCAAACAGGATAGCCGTCTTCTATAAACTCCCTCGGCATTCTTCAAATATCCAAACGATGTCCGTACTTCCCACTTTGTCTTCTTTGAGGGATAATAAATGTCCTGAGTGCTGCCGTCTCCTCCTTTGGTCATTATTTCAGCTTCAGCTTCAAGAAAGTTTTGGTCGTAAACAACAAAGCGCGCATGTGCCGCCGGTCCTGCAACTTCAGCAGATGATACGGTGGCTGGTAAGGGTCACCGCGCCTACACCACAGCCACGGTAATCCACCGAGATAATATAGTTTTTTTAAAAACAAGACGGTTATTATTATTGTCAACTTTTTTTTTTACCGGGGTTTACCGCTACACCGGTTACCGTGACAACCCTAGGCTGATCGGTCTGCTTTGATCTATTTTGAAACCTCCGATCAAAACCGATAGGGGCGCTATCGGCCGATTACGATCAAATGCCGATCCATCGGTGCATCCCTATGCACGAGTAGGAATTCAGCAGGTTGTCAGCAGTTAAACCTTTTGTCTCTTTAAACTCAAAACAGACTATTAGGCAAACTTAATTTAGGGTATTTTAAAAGTTTTAAAATGTGAACTAAAATTTACAGAGATTACTTTGATTTTACACATGAATTTTTCTAAGCAGAATCTCTGAAAAACAGCAATGGATATCTTCTGGTGTGTGTGTGTGTGTGTGTGTGTGTGTGTGTGTGTGTGTGTGTGTGTGTGTGTGTGTGTGTGTGTGTGTGTGTGATTTATTTACATAATACAAATGTGAAATCAGTTTGTGTAATCATGAAACCGTGATTATTTCTCAGGCTATAATCGTTGCAACTCTGGTCTCATCTCACAGGAAGAGTGAGGTTAGGTCTGTTCATCACTGGCTGTCGTCGTTTCTGCATGTGAACCACCTGAGGCAGAGAAGATCTGCAGCTACTAACTGAAATAATCTGAAGCTAGCTTTCTTTCTGTCTTTTTAAATGGTAAATGGCCTGTATTTGATATAGCGCCTTCTAGAGTCCTGGAACCCCCCAAGGCGCTTTTCAACACAGTCAGTCATTCACACATTCACACACTGGTGGGGATGAGCTACGATGTAGCCACAGCTGCCCTGGGGAGCACTGACAGAGGCGAGGCTGCCGAGCACTGGCGCCACCGGTCCCTCCGACCACCACCAGCAGGCAACGTGGGTTAAGTGTCTTGCCCAAGGACACAACGACAGCGACAGACTGAGCGGGGCTCGAACCTGCAACCTTCCGATTACGGGGCGAGCTCTTAACTCCTGTGCCACCGTCGCCCCACCTCTCACCTGAAATCAGAACTCAACCTGGACCCATTTCACTTTGAATGCATGCTCTTATTTTGAAAGGTCTTCTAAATGACGCTCACTTCCTCCTATGAAGAATGATGTCACCTGAGTGTTTTAACATCTGCAGAACAACAGCAAAGCACACCATGAACGTATGAGTTGTGATAAACACACACACACACACACACACACACACACTCCTACCAACTTCCTGTTTGGACCTGCAGCCTCCTGTAGCAGCTCTTCTCCATCATGTGTCTGACGGCTGGATGAAGACTCAATCCTCTACATGTCCATCACAGGAAGACGATTTGTAAAGACAGACAGAGAAGTGCTGCTACGGAAGCCTGGAGGTCCAAACAGGAAGTCAGGAACAAAATGTGTTTTTCGGGGGTTGATGCCTTCTAAAACTGTGTGATAAAAGGATCAGAGACACACTGGTGATGTGGGTCTGATTACGACATGAGAACTGCTTTAGCTGCACACCAACTCTCAGTGCTACAGAAGGACCTGGAACATCTGGACCACTTCTTCTAACTGGACCCAGATCAGCGTGAGGAACTTGCTGAAGGTAGATGTGCCCCCCCCCCCTCCATTGCAGCGAGACTGTTTACTGAAACTCTCTGTGAACAGACTGCTGATGCTGGCGTCGATAGCAGAGCTTTGAACTGAACATCTCAGGGGAACCAGCCGGGCGGGTCAGCAGTCTGGTTTATCAGCTCTCCAACCCTGACTCTCTCCAACGTGACACATCCAGCCCAGAGCTGCTGACTTTCAACGTGGATTTGATCATCATCACACCAAAGGATGTGCAGGAGCCTCAGCTGTGTGCCACGCTCTAATCTGGTGTTCCCTACACTATAATTAGGTTGGTGAGACTCAGAGCTCACAGTGGACCCCTCTCTCTCTCTCTCTCTCTCTCTGCCCCCCCTCTTCCTCCTCCCTCCTTCTTTGTACAGTCAAATTGGTTCCAGATGCATTCTCTCATGGCTAGCCTCCAGAACAAGATCGCTATATGAAAGAAACAAAAGAGAGAAGTTTCACAAAACTGCACAAGATCAGAAATGAACGGAATTCCTGCAGGATGACCGAGGAGAGGAAAAGTCTGTCTTTTCCACATGTGGTGTCTTTATCACACCTAGAGCACTCTGGGAGTTTCTTTATTGCGGTCCTCTGGCAGACAATGTGCTGCCCAAATGAGGATCTAAGAGTTCTGCTTCTTTCATGTTCCAGACAGATGTGTTGGAGGAAAAAACGTCGGTACAAAGTGATGTTTAGGCGGAGCAAATCCACATCCTGCACCCATGTGCGCTGCACTTCAAAGGCCGACCCACCAGCATGCTGGACCCATTTATAACCCTGCTACAGATAAAAACACTGTGGTCCAAACTAAATGAAGCAGGGACAGCGGCTGAAGGTCTCAGAAGGCTCGGAAACAAAACAGCCTCTAACGATCCTTCCTGTTTTATCTGAACTCCCTGGTTCTTCAGTTTCTGTCTTTAAATCCCCTAAAAGCAGCAGGGAGCAGAACAAAAACACCCATCTGAGCTCGACTTTAACCCAGCAGCAGCTCGAGGTTGGTTCAGAAACTCGAAATGAAGGAATGTGATGGTTTTAACGCAGAAGATCATCAAAAAGCTGCTCCTATTCAGCTAAAAACACTCTTCCTTCCAGGTCCATGCACGCGTGATGTTTACTCTGATGCAAACAGCTGTTTGTCTACAATAGGTGACGTCATCAGAGTGAGTTAAAACGGTTCCTCGGTAAACAGAAAAGCCCTGCTTCCTCTGGTCTCTGTCCCACCGCGGGAAGGAAACTGGACCAAACTCAACTCAGACACGCTTCGAGGCCACTTCGACTAACAGACCCGGTGGTCGACAGCAGAACCGGTCACCACCAAAAGCATTCAGCCAGCGGTTCTGCTGTGAGTGGGGCTCGGTCTGCGGTCCTGGTCCCGAGCTGACACAGAAAGATGACAGACGGAGCGGGATCAAACCCGAAGTTCGCTCGGACTCACCCTGAGCTCCCAGCTGGCTGTAGAAGTTGGCGGCGAGCAGGAAGCTGGCTATCTGGAAACACACACGCATCTTATAGAAGTCCTAAAGTGCATCGTGAAGGAGAAGAGACAGAAAAGTCCGCAGCTGTAACTCTGACACGCCACTCCATGGATCCCGTTAACTCGGCTCTGCGCGTCCTCTGCCCCCGCTGCGTGTGCGCATGCGCCAGACGCAGCGCCAGCCCCGTTCAAATGTGCGTTTATGAGATTAAAGCGCCGGAAGTTCACCGGGTTTTAGGAGAGACGTTAAACTAACGGTAACCATGCACATGAGTGTTGATGCTTCTATTAAAATGAAACCAAACACTTGAATGTGACAGGTTATAGAGCAGGAGCGGATCTAGAGGGACAGTAAAGGTGCCTGTAACACGGCAGGGGCGGGGCTTATTATCGTGCATGGGAAACGAAAATGACATAAGTGGTTTAAACACACACACACACACACACACACACACACACACACACACACACACACACACACACACACACACACACACACTTGTATTTATATGCTTGTGTGGACCCTCTAGTGACTTCCATTCTTTTTTTATTTTATTTTTTTTTCATGTTCGTGACTGTATCACGCCTCACCCCAACCATAACCACTGCTATTCTATTCCTAACCTTAACCTAAACAAAAGTTAATTCACACCAAATCTGTAAAACCACGTTTTAGGGTATTTTGTCATTGTGTGGACCAGCCAAATGTTCCCTCAAAGTGAAAATGTCCACACACTACAGGTTAAAAGTTCAAATTTGTCCACTTAAAACCTATGAATACAAGTACTGCTTTATTATAATTTACAATAATCTGTAATTATTACAATGGAGAAAACCCAAATCCCTAATGGGACTCTTTGGTTCTTTAAGGTGATGAATATCTTTTTAGTGGTATTTTTCAGAGCTCAGTGTTGAAAAAGCAGGTTGGAATCATCAACTTGGACTAAGTATTAACCATCTCTGCTGGTGAGATTTGCCACTCCCAGTCCCATTGGTGGGTTAAACCATTTTGAAATGTACATTCAAGTTTGAATCAGTGACTTTGGTAGAACCTTTTAGCTCCGTGCAGAAAAACCCAGAAACGCAGTGGCGTGCCATTACGCCTGGTGAAATGACAAAGACTTGTTGTTCTTATCTGAGTCATGGGAACACGATATTTAGTTATTTTAAAACTGACACTTTAGAACGAGCATCAAAAGGCAGATCGGTCTCCAGACTCTCTGCTGCTTCTCGTCTCTTTGATTTATAGCTGAGCTCTATGAAAGACATAGAAATAAGAAGCCCCTCCCTTAAAAGATGAGGAGATGAAACAGATGTAAAGATGTAGGGGGTTGGGGGTTAAACCACGTTGTCTCTGTCAGATTAAGAATCAGTAATGAAATGGTTCTAACACAGACACGGTGTGATAATCAGGAATGTCTCAGCAGGAGCAAATGGTGACACCCACCACCCAGAACAAGCAGAAGGGCAGCCAAGACATCCGTTGACCTCAGTGGATGAAGTGACATCTTCTGGTTAGACAAGAGGTCTGTCATCAGATCTGTATGAGGAGATACCTGAACCCTACAATCTTTTATTTGTTCAACATGAGAAGCATCAGCTATAAAAGTTCAGACATGAAGTTTTACATGGATATGTTTGAGAAGTAACCCTCGTGTGTATTAACTATAACTGCTGTTAATGTATATTTGATCTTCAATCACATTAGATGACGTGTGAAGAAGTCCCCAACATTAACCCAATCCTTTAGTTTTGAACACGGGCTCTCAGAAACACAGGATCTTTATTTTAAAGGATTTAATTTTTCCTCAGCCTCTTAAAAATTCTTGAAATATTTTTCATTATTTCACAATTTAATTTATTCGGCCTTAATGTTTAGTTATGTTGAGCAAACAAGAAGCGAAGATGAAAGTACGCCCAGCATTTGTCTTCTTTGTTATTTTTTTTTATTTTAATTAGAAATAAAGAGTCTGCTGTATTTATTGATGTACCTCAACTCAAGACAGGCCGTTCGATTTGCACAAAGGTTTTTATTTTAGTTAAAACATTCTGTTGGCCAGTATTCCAAACACTGTGTCAGACTTAAAAAGTGGCATAATCCTTTAACTAAGATGTGTGTGTGTGTGTGTGTGTGTGTGTTTATTTGGGGTGGGGGTGGGGGTGGGGGACTGTGACATGATTATTTCAGAAAGAAGTGATTTTCCAGAATTCCCAACAAGCAACAGGAAGTGCTTTTTTTCCACAGAGGCCTCGTCAACTGCCTCCCATTGTCCCCATTATGCCCAAGTCAACAGGGCCAGGCGTCTTTTTGTGCAGCGCAGCTGGAAAACACTAGAGAAACCTCTGTCCAGGGAGACATCTGTCTTTGTGAGGAGTCAAAGGTCCTGAGTGAGGAGCAAGTCAGAGTCTCGAGTCATCGCATCGACCCCATGTGGCCTCGAGGGGCCCACAGAGCCCAGTGGGGTCACATCAAGCTGTCAGTAGGCATGAGCTGGGTGTGTCACTCGTATTCATCCGGAACATGATACACATGTTAGTTTGTGTTGAAGTCTAAATGTGAATCTGAGTTTTAGTAAGACATGTTTCACCAGCATGGGCGCCATCTGGGAGGTTGTCTTCAGCCACATGGAGCCTTTACTGACTGACAGGCTGTTGGATATCAAATCAAATACAGGCCATTTATAACTGGCTGCTGCTCTAAAGAGATGGAAGGTGTCCAGTTTTCCAACATGTCAGCGGCTCAGAGATCCGACTCATCAGAGCCTCGCTGTCAGTCGGAGCTGCGTCTTATTTCTGTTACTGACAACATAAACATTAAAGAGAAAAATGAACTCAGATGGTACTTTGAAGTTAATGAATACAGCTGATCTCTTTGACTTCCTCCTGTGATGCATGATGGGAATTGATTACAATGCTGCCTTCTTTGTCTTGTTTTGTGTTTCCTGCTCCGTTTTAAATGAACTGAGGCAGCATCTGCCCACAGAGCAGCAGCCTGACAGAATAAAGGACCTGTCTGTGTCCAGACGTGGACCTTAAGGCAAGAATCTCCATCCATCACACACCAGCCAACTGGTCCTGTGTTTCAGCACAACGTTTCTTTGTAGGGGTCCATACAGTTGGAGAATCCAGTGTTGTTGTTTTGTGTTTGCTCTGTTGCTGTCTCCACATACCAGATGTTGTTGGATCCCAGTCATTACCCTTCTTTAAAACATGTCTCCGTCTGAAAGGTTGCATGTGAGTCTGAAGTAAATCAACCCACTGCAAGTGATCGAAGTCCATTCTTCTCCAGATGTTCAGCATGTTGATCCATCTAGGTTCCAGTTTAGTTCAAATAATTTAAATTTCACTATCAGTCAACTTGTCAGGGATTTCAGACAGTAAACCCAACGAGCCTCTCTCGTGTCAGAGCAAATAACCCCATCCTGACTAGTCTTAGCTCCTCACATTGTCACGTTGTGGGTTGGAGGAGTTGGACCCAATATGCAGATACCCAGAATGACACGAGGTAGGAGAGGATGTAAAGGAAAACATTCTTTATTAAGAATGACAATGCCTAAATAAAACCTAGAAGGGCACAAAGCCAAAAAAACCTATAGGGGCATGAAGCCAAAATCCTAATAGACCTAAGATGGGGGGGGGGCAGCACTGACAAGGACAATGGACCAACAACACACTGTGATGCAGACAGGGTTATATACCCAAGGGCTGGGTGATTAGGGAATTGTGCACAGGTGAGACTAATAAACATAGAGCAGGAGCACACCGGAGCAGGGGAGGAAACCAGACCTAAAAATGGGGAAAGGAGCAAAATGAACTAAAGGGAGAATACTGACTAGATAAACACTAACAGAAGACTACTGATAAGAGGTGACTAAGAGAAAAGGTGAGGAAAACCTAGAGAGAGCCTGGAGGGGGCTGGGGAACCACAGGGACACTGAAACCTAGGGGGAACACCTAAGGGGAGAAAACCTGGAGTGGGCTGGGGAACACCAGGAGGCACATGAGGAGGGATGCAGACAAGGAGACACATGAGGAACTCAAGGAGACACATAAGGGAAACCTAGAGAGGGATGGAGAACACAAGGAGATACATGAGGGAGATGCAGAACGCAGACTGTGACAGTACCCCCCACCCCCCCTCAAGGGGAGGATACCAGACGCCCACAAGACACGCACAAAACGAAAAACAAGGGGACCAGGGTAGTCCGGAGGGCCGGCGACGGGGAAGCAGGAGCCAGGACCAGGAGGCTCTGGGAGGTCGGCGACGGGGAACCAGGAGCTGGGACTCAGGAAACTGAGGGGACGAAGAAGACTCTGGAGGAGGCTGGGGGGACGAAGACTCTGGTGGCGGACTGAGGGTTTCTGTAGGATGGGATGGGGACTCTGGAGGATGGGACGGGGACTCTGGAGGATGAAGTGGGGACTCCGGAGGATGAAGCGGGGACACTGGACAATGAAGTGAGGAAGCTAGAGAATGAAGCGGGGATGCTGGAGGATGAGGATGATGAAGGGATGCTGGAGGGTGAGGATGATGAAGGGATGCTGGAGGGTGAGGGGGATCTAGAGGATGAGGGGACTCTGAAGATGAAGTCTCTGAAGCGAAGACTCTGGTGACTCTGAAGGCGAAGACTCTGGAGACTCTGAAGACGAAGACTCTGGAGACTCTGAAGACGAAGACTCTGGAGACAAAGACTCTGGAGACTCTGAAGACGAAGACTCTGGAGACAAAGACTCTGGAGACTCTGAAGACGAAGACTATGGAGACTCTGAAGACGAAGACTCTGGAGATGAAGACTCTGGTGACTCTGGAGACGAACACTCTGGAGGCTCTGAAGACAAAGACTCTGGAGACTCTAAAGACCAAGACTCTAGAGACCCTGCAGGCATAGACCCTGCAGGCGTAGACCGGGACACTGCAGGCGTAGACCCTGCAGGCAAAGACGAGAACTCTCGGACCGGCTGGGCTGGGGGCAGAGCCTATTGGACTGGCAGAGCCGCTGCAGGCAGAGCCTCTTGGACAGGCTGTGCTGCTGCAGACGGAGCTTTTTGGATGTTGTTGTGTCCCCCCAACAATGCTGACAAGGACAATGGACCAACAACACAGTGAGACGCAGACAGGTTTATATACACAAGGGCTGGGTGATTAGAGAATTGTGCACAGGTGAGACTAATAAACAGAGAGGAGGAGCACCACGGAGCAGGGGAGGAAACCAGACCTAAAAATGGGGAAAGGAGCAAAATGAACTAAAGGGAGAATACTGACTAGATAAACACGAACAGAAGACTACTGATAAGAGGTGACTAACAGAAAAAGTGAGGGAAACCTAGAGAGAGCCTGGAGGGGGCTGGGGAACCACAGGGAAACTGAAACCTAGGGGGAACACCTAAGGGGAGAAAATCTGGAGTGAGCTGGGGAACACCAGGAGGCACATGAGGAGGGATGCAGACAAGGAGACACATGAGGAACTCAAGGAGACACATAAGGGAAACCTAGAGAGGGATGGAGAACACAAGGAGACACATGAGGGAGATGCAGAACGCAGACCGTGACAGTACCCCCCGCACCCCCACCCCCACCCTGTCACGTTGAGCGAGGTGGAGACGGCTGACCATGTGTGGATGAGCTGACCAGGAGGTAAAAATGCAGGCTTCGGATAAAGTAAAAATGGTTTTAATGGCAGGATGGGATGAACAGGACAAAACAACGATGACTACTAACAACAACAATGATCTGACAAAGGACAGGAGCAAAACAGGTGGTATAAATACAGAAGGCTAATTAGGGAAAAATGGGCAGGTTAACGAGGGACAGGTGAGAACAATACGGACTAATCAGGGCAGGAGAGAAACACAGTCAGGAGGGCAGGGGCAGAATGTGACAGTACCCCCCCCCCCCCCCCCCCTTAAGGGCGGATACCAGATGCCCACAAGGCTACACAACACAGGAGACTGGGGACTCGAAGACTCGACTGGAGACAGGGACTCGAAGACTTGACTGGAGACAGGGACTCGAAGACTGGACTGAGGACAGGGACTCAAAGACTGGACTGGAGACAGGGACTCGAAGACTGGACTGGAGACAAAGACTCGAAGACTGGACTGAGGACAGGGACACGAAGACTTGACTGGGGACAGGGACACGAAGACTTGACCGGGGACAGGGACTCGACTGGAACGGGAAGACTTGACTGGAACGGGAAGACTTGACTTGACAGGAACGGGAAGACTTGACTTGACAGGAACGTGAAGACTTGACTTGACAGGAACGGGAAGACTTGACTTGACAGGAACGGGAAGACTTGACTTGACAGGAACGTGAAGACTTGACTTAACAGGAACGGGAAGACTTGACTTGACAGGAACGGGAAGACTTGACTTGACAGGAACAGGAAGACTTGACTTGACTTGACTTGACAGGAACGGGAAGACTTGACTTGACAGGAACGGGAAGACTTGACTTGACAGGAACGGGAAGACTTGACTTGACTTGACAGGAACGGGAAGACTTGACTTGACAGGAATGGGAAGACTTGACTTGACTTGACAGGAACGGGAAGACTGCAAGAGCAGACGTGGGACCCAGGCAGAGAACTGCAGGAGCAGGCGTGGGACCCAGGCAGAGAACTGCAGGAGCAGGCGTGGGACCCAGGCAGAGAACTGCAGGAGCAGGCGTGGGACCCAGCAGAGGCTGCAGCAGCATGAGACCTGCAGGCATAAGCCCCACAGCGTGGACCAGGAAGTGGACAATCTGTAGAAGCGACGCGAGGAAACCAGGATCGGGGGCAGGCACTCGACAGCCGGTCAGAGCAGGTGCACGGCACGATTAGCTGGATCTCAGGCAGAGGCTTGGGTGCAGGGAAGCAGGAGACGAGCGGGGAGACCAGCCCTACCACCCCGGAGAACGATGGCGTGCGTAGGGGGTGTAACTCCCTTAAAGCTCCAGGATCCGCGGCTTCCATGACAAAAAACGGGACAGGGGCAGAAAGCAGGAGAGGAGAAGGGTTTGACCACCACAGGAAACGAACTAGATGCGCCGAAACCCACCCAAAGGCTTGACCACCCCGGAGAACAGGTAGGATGCGCCAACACCCTGGGCCAGAATCTCCTTCCGCTAAAGGAGAAAAAAGTAAAAAATAAATCCTCCAGCAAACAGGTGTTAGCTCACCACAGGTCCAGGTTTGGTCAGATCATTCTGTCACGTTGAGCGAGGTGGAGACGGCAGACCGTGTGTGGATGAGCTGACCAGGAGGTAAAAATGCAGGCTTCGGATAAAGTAAAAAATGGTTTTAATGGCAGGATGGGATGAACAGGACAAAACAACGATGACTACTAACAACAACAATGATCTGACAAAGGACAGGAGCAAAACAGGTGGTATAAATACAGAAGGCTAATTAGGGAAACATGGGCAGGTTAACGAGGGACAGGTGAGAACAATATGGACTAATCAGAGCAGGAGAGAAACACAGTCAGGAGGGCAGGGGCAGAATGTGACACACACCCTCAAGGGGAGGATACCAGACGCCCACAAGACACGCACAAAACGAAAAACAAGGGGACCAGGGTAGTCCGGAGGGCCGGCGATGGGGAACCAGGAGCCGGGACCAGGAGGCTCTGGGAGGTCGGCGACGGGGAACCAGGAGCTGGGACTCAGGAAACTGAGGGGACGAAGAAGACTCTGGAGGAGGCTGAGGGGACGAAGACTCTGGTGGAGTACTGAGGGACTCTGTAGGATGGGATGGGGACTCTGGAGGATGGGACGGGGACTCTGGAGGATGAAGTGGGGACTCTGGAGGATGAAGTGGGGACGCTGGACAATGAAGTGGCGAAGCTAGAGAATGAAGCGGGGACACTGGAGGATGAGGATGATGAAGGGACGCTGGAGGGTGAGGATGATGAAGGGATGCTGGAGGGTGAGGGGGCTCTGGAGGATGAGGGGACTGAAGACGAAGTCTCTGAAGCAAAGACTCTGGTGACTCTGAAGGCGAAGACTCTGGAGACTCTGAAGACGAAGACTCTGGAGACTCTGAAGATGAAGACTCTGGAGACTCTGGAGACAAAGACTCTGGAGACTCTGGAGACGAAGACTCTGGAGACTCTAAAGACGAAGACTCTGGAGACCCTGCAGGCATAGACCCTGCAGGCGTAGACCGGGACACTGCAGGCGTAGACCCTGCAGGCAAAGACGAGGACTCTCGGACCGGCTGGGCTGGGGGCAGAGCCTCTTGGACTGGCAGAGCCGCTGCAGGCAGAGCCTCTTGGACAGGCTGTGCTGCTGCAGACGTAGCTTTTTGGATGTTGTTGTGTCCCCCAACAATGTTGACAAGGACAATGGACCAACAACACACTGAGACGCAGACAGGTTTATATACACAAGGGCTAGGTGATTAGGGAATTGTGCACAGGTGAGACAAATAAACAGAGAGTCAGAAGTCATTAAAACAATGACTCGAGTCGGACTCGAGTTCAAGTCATGTGACTTGAGTCCACACCTCTGGGTTTGTGTGTCCCAGTGATCCTAGGAGCTAAATAGTCTGAGGCTTTATGCATCTGGTCAGGTCACCCATGGCAAACATGTAGGTGAGGGAACAGACAAATCACAGCCCAAAGACCTCTTATGATGATTACCACAAATGGAAACAGTGTTGCCTTGCCTGGACGTGGGTCACCGTAACCCCCCTCTAGAGCCAGGCCTGAAATTGCGGCACATTGGTGAGCGCCTGGTAACCAGGCTTTTATCTATGGAGCTGGGTCGAGCACAGCCTAAAGAAGAGAAGTGGGTTCCCCTTCCCATGATCTCACCACTTATGGGAGGAGCCAAAGGGGTTGAGTGCATTGTGTGTTGGGTGGTAGTTAAAGGCAGAGACCCTGGAGGTCTGATCCTCGGCTACCAAAGCCATCTCCTGGTACATGAAATATCACCTCTCTGGTGGGGAAAGAGCCAGAGTTGATGTGAGAGGTTGACAGGTTCCAGCTAGATTTAGTCGGACTCACCTCAACGCATGGCTCTGGAACCGGTTTCCTTGAGAGGGGTTGGACTTCATATCACTCAGGAGTTGCTCCCACTGAGAGGTGTCGAGCAGCGGTGGGCTTATTAGTTGCCCCTCATCTTGGTGCCTGCACGTTCGCGTTTACTCTGGTAAACAAAAGGGTTCTTCCTTCTGTGGGTGGGAACAGGCCCTTATAGTGGGTTGTGCTTATGCACCAAACAGCAGCTCAGACTGTCCATACTTTATATGTGTCAGCGCGCTGCGGAGTGGAGCGGAGGAAAGGCGTGGATCCAGACCGGGGAGTAAACAGGCAGCAGGTAGGAACGGTCAAACAGGATTTATTAAGCACGCTGGACAATGAAACAATGATCCGACACAGTACAAAGAACCAACAGGGTTTAAATACAGGAGGGTTGGGAGCTAAGGTGATTGGGAAACGAGAGGCAGGTGGGAATAATTAACGAGACACAAGGCTGAACTAAACGGGGAGACATGACCGGGTGTGACAGTACCCCCCCCTCAAGGGGCGGATCCCAGACGCCCACAGGAACGAGGAGCAGGGTGGGAGGAGGGGAACCAGGAGGAAGTGCCCAGAGGAACAGAGGGACCACCAGAGGGGTAGAGGAGGAGGCGACGACAGGCTCTTGGAGGCCGGCGTCTGAGGCAGAGGAGGCGACGACGAGCACTGGAAGGCCGGTGTCTGAGGCAGAGGAGGCGACGACGAGCACTGGAAGGCCGGTGCCTGAGGCAGATGAGGAGGCGACGAGCCCTTGGAGGCCGGCGCCTGCGGCAGAAGAGGAGGCGACGGGCCCTTGGAGGCCGGCGCCTGCGGCAGAAGAGGAGGCGACGGGCCCTTGGAGGCCGGCACCTGCGGCAGAAGAGGAGGCAACGGGCCCTTGGAGGCCGGCGCCTGCGGCAGAAGAGGAGGCGACGGGCCCTTGGAGGCCGGCGCCTGCGGCAGAAGAGGAGGCGACGGGCCTCTGGCGGCCAGCGCCTGCGGCAGAGGAGGAGCACTGCAGGCTGGGCCGGCGACAAAGTCACTGCAGGCTGGGCCGGCGACAAAGTCACTGCAGGCTGGGCCAGCGACAAAGTCACTGCAGGCTGGGCCGGCGACAAA